CTATTTTCCGTGCGTGAGAGCGGTAAATTCCAAGGATTTGCTCGTGTTTATGCACCTTCTGATCCTCGGCTTAAAGTAAACTGGGTTCTTCCTCAGAGGATGAGTGCAGAGCTCTTAAGTAGCCCTTTTAGACTGGATTGGATCACCAAGTACGATCAATTTCTCGTTTTATCTTTTTAGAGAGGAAATTCCTTTTACCCGTACTGCTCATATTGTAAATCCATGGAATGAAAACAAACCAGTAAAAATTGGCCGCGATGGTCAGGTACGTGAACTTACATTAAGAATGTCTATGGCTGTGCGGGATTAATCTTTACGAAATTACAGGAAATTGAATATAAATCTGGAGAGGCGCTTTGCAGACTCTTCCCCCACGATGCGTCATGTGATGTGTCTACCGCAATATCCCGCATCAGACTCTCAGATGATAACAAGGAGCGAAGAGGCGATCGCAGACCTATCTCCTCCCGCCTAAATACCACTGAAGGATGCAGTAGACGCGTTGCTGGAGTGCCTCGATTGATCGGAATACAGTCGTCTGGAGGTGCCGGTTTGCTTGGTCCGGCTGGAGCTTCAAATATAAAAGGTATACCAAATGGTCGCAGAGGAGTCATCGGTTCTGGACCCTTCGGCCAATTAGGCAGCATCGGTCTTACACCACAACCTCTTATGCAAGTTAACGCCGCAGCTGCCGCTATGGCTGCCGCTTCGGCCCTTGCGGCGATGTCGAGTAACCAGTCTTCTCTTGCTACTGCAATTGCTCGGAACAACTCTGGTTTTGGGAATAGAGCCTTTGTCGGAATGGCGGGCCTTCGTCCTCACATCCCTCCGCTTATCCCCACTTTGCCATCTGTTCCGAAAACCTGTTCAAGCGCCGCTCTGCTTAATACACCAGGTCTTCTCACTGCCGGTCTGGGGGCCCACGGAATACCCAACTTGATGCAGGCTTCACATCTTCAGACAGCGAATTCGGCAGCGGCGTTTGCCAGAGCTCTCCAACATATGGGAAACGTGAATCATTCCGCCTTGCTGCGCGGTATTGGGAACCATGGTGCCTCCGGTTCTCTCATCTCCAGTGGTGCTCTCCATAGCGGTGCTGATAATTCCGCAAGTGGAATGTGTAACTCTCCTCCTTCTAGACAGGTTATGGAGCTGACCACAAACTTCCGTCGTCGTCGGTCTGTTGATTCCGATGGCAGCTACGATGGGGCCGACCGTGCGTTATCGCGACGAATCAAAGACGATGATTATTTCGCGGGCGACTCTAATAATTCCCGGTCATACGACGCTCTTCGAAGAGTGTCTCCACAAGTTACGAGGTTAGACGCTCCTGACCAGCCATTAGTCGTGCTAACAAGGCGGGTCGCGGCCTCTCTGATAGCATCTGTTACCCTCAGTACCCTTTATCGTATCAGAACTATCCCCCGAGCGTGGCAATGGTTTAAATTGGTGGACTTGTATGTATCCATGAGACTCGCATGCACTTGTCATTTCACTTCACAAATGACGTTAAATTTGAAGGTCCTCTACTTCCTCGGGACAAATTCCATTATTGACTTGATTTTTCTGGCTAAACTTTGCGTTTTATATTTCATCGCTGCGCTCGTTTATGGTTTTGGAGTATTTTTTTCGATTAACTATCGTAGCTTTTTCTGCCTGTGGTTTGTAAATGTCTTCTTTTAGTAATTCTTTTGAACATTCACTAAACAAATTATGGAAGCAACCATAAATCAGGTAAACTTTTCCCTCAATTATTTACTGTAAATTCCTACATAAGTATCTCCTAATTTGTCAAATTCCTTTCAGGCGTCGGGAACTTGGAGAGCGCATGGAAAGGTCACCAGATCGTAGGTTAAAGCTTAACATTTTAATATTCACTTCAGGTCGCTACGATCGTAGCCGCTCTAGGTCCATTCCTGTTGATCCGGATGCTCTCATTACATGGGTAAGCTATATTTAAGATTACTTTTAGGATTATGATCAATATGTCCAACAAGCAAGTCGGGGTATTCGGCATGCACTTCCTTCGGTGGTGAGTATTCATATTTCCTTTAAGCAGATTTTTTGTCTGATATTGATTCTTTATTAAACCCTAGGATACTGCTCAGATTCGTGCTGGTGTCGGGCGCCTGGATGACGAATCTGATATGATGGTTAGTTCACCT